TGCAAACAGGCTTTTTAATGCAGCTCTTTCCACGGAACGTTTAGTATTAAGTGAATTCAATCGACAGTGATTCACAGTGACTGAGGAACAGCTAGAGCCCTTGTTGAATATTTTTTCCTCAACTCAATAATTTTTACTGGAACTCTGTTAAGCATCTCTTTGATTTCATTTTTATTAATGATTGGCATGACATCCGACCAAAGGTTTACTGTCTGCTTCGCAATGTTTTCTGCTCAAACATCACCATAAACGTTGGCACTTTTTTAAGTATTCTATTTTAACTACAAGAATAAGAGAGACTTTGTATTCTGAATCTTGTTTTTTACTTTATTGATACTCTATAATACTTGGAAACATTTTGTCAGTGCATCAGATTCTAATTTATAGCTTATCGGGATTGTAGCTTCGTAAGTTTTGAGCTGATTATTCAAAACCGTGTACGTTAAGCAACTCAAAAAAAAAAAAAAAGAAAATCTAATATAAATTTACGAAAAGCAAATATCCCAGTTAATTATTCCAACTTGGTCCTAGGCAGGATTGACTGATATTGAGCTGGAATCACTAGGATAAGGTTCCAGATGGGTCCCATATGGTGTAAAGAGTTTTAAACAAACCAAATCTGAATTTCTACTGGGATTAGAATGGGATTTTCTAATCAAGCTGATCAGAAATTACACTTTTATTTTAAAAGAAATATTCAGTTATCTAGCTTCTTTTTTTTTTTTCTTGTTTTTTGTCAAGTTGCTATGAAAGCATCATGCTTAGTGTATGTTATTTATGCAATAGAGTAGTATTTTATTTATACAATAGCAGATCAGTGGTAAATTATAAGATGCATAATAGTAGAGAGCATTTTTTTTTTTTGTTTAAAATATTTTAAGATGTTCTAATTTGTAACCACAATAAATTTATTTGTGTATAGTTAAGATTTAAATGAATTATTGATGGTTGATATTTTCTTAGTATATATTCCGAAATAAATTAAATATACAGTCATAAGATGCTTTTCAAGAGCATATATAAAATTAAAAATGTAATTTTGGTCTTAAATATTGGAAAAAACTTATGTTTGAATAAGTGTTTAACATAAATTGACATGAAAAAGTAGTTTTGACATGTCACTGTCACAAAATGCAAATTAATTTGAACTTTCCGTCCCGAGAGAAACCTTTTGTATTATTGTATTGCACAAATAGACGGTCACATTGGCATAGATTTCAAAATCAAACTATTTCGCCCGTGGGAGAAAAATTAATTTTCACTTTTTAATGAAAATCA